ACGGGATCTATGTGATCGGGGGCTACTTCCGGAGCCGGACGAGGCACAACGAGCGCTGGTCGGAAACAGGGAACCTGCGCTGCACCCGGAAGTGCTTCTTTCTGGGGGAAGATGGCCAGTTGGACAGGAGAGTCACTATCCCCAGGCTGCCCATAGAGCTGGCGGGGGCCGGTGTGGTGCGCTGGAAGCACCGCATTTACGTGCTGGGTGGGGAGAACACCTACATGTATAACAACCTGAAAGGAGAGAACGAAGAGGAATATTATAACACTGTTTACTACTGGGAACTCGGAGCCCCTAAGTGGGTCCAGTGCCAGGAGAGGCTGCCATTCACCAGATGGGGACTCAGCGGCTTTGGCTGCACCACCATGAAGGTCCCCAAAAAGCCCATCCTAGAGCTTTTCCGAAAGACATCGGTTGCACTGACAGCCATAGAGGTGGTGAGGCTCACAGACAGCTTGCAAAGTGCTTTCTACAGCGATGATCTGCCTGAGAAACCTGAAGGCACTTAACTCTCGAGAGGTATAGAACAGAAGGACTGGTCATCACCTACCCACTTGTGTTCAGTTTTTTATTTGTAATTTGTATGATTTTCCATCTAAGTGGTGTAAGAGAGGGCCGGGGAACCTCAAACCCAGGGGTAGGGTTGCCACCTTTGTTCAGGCAAAATACAGAATAGGATGGCGGGTTGGGTTGTGGGCTGGATGAGGTGGCAATTGCCCCTGCCCCCCGGCACTGAAATGACTTTAAAGCAATCAGTTGCACTCTATTGTAGCCAACCCGGATGCCACTGGAATTTGTCACACACAGACACGTGCTCATGGATTTGCAAACCTGTCTGTGCTTTGCTACCCAGAGCTCAAATCCATGACCTTTCACACACCCTTTCAAACACATCCAGTACTGTACGTTCAGGCCAGGACAAAATAAATAAATAGTGGGGCATATTCTGATGAGGAAACAGACTTTGTTCCACATGTTATGCTTCTGAAGGAGAGGAAAAAACATTAGGAGTGGAGGGCAAGCCTTATGGGGAGCTAATTCTCCCTCACCCTCCTCTCCCAAATATCCTGTAGAACATAGTTATGTTCAGAACTGGGGCTTCTGAGCTACACTGACACAAAACCACTTGTTTCTAGAATCTCGGAACCTGTTTCTCTCTGAGGAATGCAGTGGTGTAGCATGGGTTGCCAGAGCCCAGGGCTACTTGAAGGGGGGAATGGAAGGGAGGGAACTGGGTGGAGTATGCCTGTGTATTCAACTGCTTAACAGCACCTGCGTTATCCAGGAGATTGCAGCCACAGAGATAAGCAGAGTCATTCCATTGTCTGGAGAGGTCATACCTGGTTTGCATGGTTAAGAGCAGTAGTCTCGTAATCTGGTGAACCGGGTTCGCGTCTCCGCTCCTCCACATGCAGCTGCTGGGTGACCTTGGGCTAGTCACACTTCTCTGAAGTCTCTCAGCCCCACTCACCTCACAGAGTGCTTGTTGTGGGGGAGGAAGGGAAAGGAGAATGTTAGCCCAGTATTTACATGCCTTTATTTCTGTCTTTTCCAGCAGTACAGAAAAACGTGTCTGCACTCTCTTAACACCAACAGCAGAGAGAGAGAAACTCCTCCCCTGTACTTCCAGTACAGGTCAGATGACACTCTGAGCTAACATCCGGTGCTCAGTACAGTGAATAGACTGTCCCTTTGTTCCCACGGTACAGTCCCAAACATCAACATTCTGTCTGGCTTTCCAGCCAGCTGGAGCTCGCTGCTGCATTGCTCCTTTTTCGTAACATCCTCCCCCAAAAGAATCAATGCGTGTTGTTGCGAGCAAAGCTTGATCCAGAGAAGAAAACAAACAGTTGTTATACACATAACACTCCCCTGTTGTTTCAGTTCCACCCTTGGAACTCCCCGCCACTGGTTTCCCCAGTGTACCTCTCTGGTTGTCTGGCTTCCAAGGAATGAGTGCATCTGCATTACCTTGGCTAGCAACTCTCTGTTGTGTCTTTGTCTCTGACTTAGACACAGCTTCAACCTGTCCTCGGTTGTGTACAACAGCAGCACATGCAACAGCTAAGTTGGCAAATTCTTTTGAATACCTCTTGGGTGGTACACCCTTTGTAACTCTCTCAGACCTGCGTATGAGGTGCTGATCCTCTCTGCTCACTAGTTCAGCCTCTGGACTCTTAGGAGAACCAGTACCAATGGTAAACAGTGGTTCATCCTCCATCTGTGAAGGTCTATCCATTGTGTGAGATTTCCTCTCAATGACTGTGTCAACTGAGCTCCCTGAGCTACTACTGTCGCTCTCAGTACCACTGTAATCAGTAAAATCATCATCATCATCCGAATCGTCCCCTGTGGGAAATGTGTGAACAATTACTCTCTCCTGTTCAGGAGCACTCTCTAGAAATTTTGTGAGAATCACCTCACCAGATTCAGCCAAATTACTCTGTAGAGACCCTTTTCATAACCCACAAAAATGCCTCTGGCATTCTTTACTCCACCTGGAGCTTCTGTCCTCACATGAGACCCAAAAACCTTAAAATGGGCAACAGAAGGTTTTCTGTGGAACAGCTTCTCAAAAGGAGAACTTCCCAACTCTTTTGAAACCTTTCTCAACCACGTGTAACAATAACACATTATCGCCTCCGCCCAGAACTCATGTGGCAGATGTGAACTAAGCAATTGTGCATTCTTTTTGCAATTCTTTGTTCACCCGTACACAGACACCCCTGTTCCACACTTCCGCTGAAACAGCAACCTTGTGTCTTATCCCTTTCTTCTGCAGGAACTCCTGAAAATCCTGTAAAAGAAAAATTTGCTTCTCATCTGTGAAAAGACAATCAATGTTAGCATCATGCACATTTTTAACCTTGTCACAAAACTCTTTAAACCTTTCTAAGGCTTCTTGTGGTTTCTCTAACACATAAATCCAGACAAAATTAGAGAAATGATCCACACACACAAGATAAAATCTTGCATTTCCTCTAGATGGTGCTAGAGGACCAATCACATCAGCATACACCCGCTGAAATGCTCTGTCGACCCTGGTCACCTTCCTGGCGTCCATCTTGGTCACACCTGCGAGAGAAATAACGTTAGAATCAGAAGAATTACATTTCATGTAATCACTTTGATCAAAAGTCAACAAATACAGTCCATCTTTCTCTCTGGCAGAAAGATACAACTCTCCATCTTTGAAGATCTTGCAGCTTTCAGCATCATAGGACAGTTTCAGTCCTTTCTTTGCAATCTGTGAAACACTCAGCAGATTGAACTTCAATTCAGGAACCAAGTACACATTGTTTATAGTCAAGTTCAGACTCTCAAGATACACAGTCCCAAACCCGGTCGCTTCCAGCTCCTGACCGTTGGCCTGCTTCACAGCGAAGCTTTGCTTCTTAAACGTTGAAAACAGTTCTCTGTGTGGGGACATGTGAACCGTGCAACCCGTGTCGATTACAAATGTGTTCTCAACATCTGGCGTGGTTCCTTTCGACATCAAAGCCTTTGCAGGTTTCACCTGAGACTTGGTATGACTTTTGCCTGATGCCTCAGGCTTTGCAGAGCTGCCCTTAGCTCCTTTTGGCTGGCGTGGCTTCTTACAGTTCCGCTGAAGATGCCCAGCCTGTCCACAATTGTAACATCGGACAACGTTCAAAGCTACAGCATGCTCTCCAGTAGCAACATCAGTGAGGGAATTAGAACTCCGTTCCTCCCTCCCCCTGTCAGCAACATCCATTGTTGCTCGCACAGGAACAGCAACAGCAACAGTTCCTTCACTCCCCCATCTGGGGTCAAAGCTCTCCTCAGCTTTCAATGAGCTCTCAGGAACTTGGCCAGCATCATCTTGGCTCACCCCTTCTGGGATAGTCATCCATCCAGACCATGATGAATAACTGTCTCTAGTCAGGGGAGACGAGTAAGGCAAGCCTCCCCCCTTCTTGGCATCCATTTTGAATCCAAGCCTCAGCTCTCACTTTCAAGCCTGCTAAAATCCAATAGCTGGCTGTTTACGCTCTTGGCACCTGGCAGCGAAACGCTGGCTGCTATGGAAAGTCCCCTCCAAGAGCTCGTGAGATTGCAGTCAAAACAACTCCGTTGTTTTTTTTCGCCTCTCTGAGGCCCAGCCTCACAGTCCAGCCCCTTTGTCAGTAACTTTCCACTTTACTGACGGTCGTTGCTTAGCAACTGTGCATTCCACTCTTTGAACAGGAAATCTTATCAACCACAAGAATTCCTGGTATGCAGGCCGAGCTTCCAAGCTGCAGGCCTCCTCTTTCAGAGCTGTTTTTTCCAAACGCAGCTCCCGTGAACCAGAGAATGAATCAATCTGCGTTCACACTTTTAGCCTGAAATTCAGCATACCTTGGGGCTCCGTTGCTTGGAAAACACCTCCTCTCGGTGTCCAGCCGTCTGTTCAGCCTCCAGCTGCACGCAGACGTTATCTTCTTTCACTTGGTGCAGAGGATGAAGAACGATCCATCTACCTCTCATGCTGATTTCCATGGATCTAAAAACCACCGGCAATGCTACCAGTTGTCGGAATCTCAAGCATTGTCAGAGGAATTGGCCACTCTCCAGGCACCCGGCTTGAGTTCCTTGTTGACCTTCCCGTCTGCGACTCCCGGCAAGATACAGGGGAAGGTCTCTATCGGCGATCCTCCTCTAACGTGAGAAGAACACACCACTCCCCCTCCTCCCTGCCATCCCCAGGGAGGGGAAAGAGACAGACAGAAATGTATTTACATGCCTTTATTTCTGTCTTTTCCAGCAGTACAGAGAAACGTGTCTGCACTCTCTTAACACCAACAGCAGAGAGAGAGAAACTCCTCCCCTGTAGTTCCAGTACAGGTCAGATGACACTCTGAGCTAACATCCGGTGCTCAGTACAATGAATAGACTGTCCCTTTGTTCCCACGGTACAGTCCCAAACATCAACATCCTGTCTGGCTTTCCAGCCAGCTGGAGCTCGCTGCTGCATTGCTCCTTTTTCGTAACATCTATATGGGCTCTTGGATACCCCACAAGGGAAAAGGGCCATTTTTGTTTACAACAACCCAGAAGTGAATGCAGCCCTTGGGGTGAAAAGCCTCAGCACTCTTGAGTTTGTGTGTGTAGGAGAGACAGAATGAATGGATGGGTGCAGAAGAGAGAGGGGGTTGAATATCCACAAGGGAATATAGCTCTCAGCCCCCAAAATGTTGCTCCCCCTGTTCTAACAGGCACAAATTATCCCTAAATGAAGAGAAGAAACTAACACAAAAGCTGGACATTCCTGCGCTAGCTGATTTGAAGTCTCCTGGTGATTTCATCAGGACGCTGAACACCTGAGATACACACTTTTGGGACCCACCCTCGATCATGCATTGCTTTTAACAGATTTTAATATTTTACTTTGACATTGCAATAATGCAGTCCTGTGACCTTACGGGCAGGCAAGAAATGTTAGTTGTGCTTCCTGCATTGCAGGTGATTGGGTTAAGTGATCCTTCCAATTCTTTGATTCTATGAAATCTAAGAACCATTTTTTTTTTATAAAGGCAGTCACAGAAGGGGTTCTAGGTTTCGCCCTTCTCGTAAGGGTCTTACCATGGATCTTGCTTAGGACCTGTGTGGTGATGAGGCAGAGCAGAGAAGCCAGGCGGCTCACTAGCATTTTCAGTTAAACCCCTCCTTTGTGGTTAGCTCGCATCTTGCTGGCTGCGGGCACGATTAGGACGGTGTTGGCGGCATGTCTGTGGGTCTGCAGGCAGGTATTGTTATGTCTCTGGGATCTGCAGGCAGGAGGCACCATGCCCAGCGTCCAGGAACAGAGAAGGTCCGTTTCAGTTCAAAATATCTCGAAGGTTCTGCTTCCGGGATTCCAGGGGGCTTCCGATTGTGGGCCAGAGTTCCTCGTTCCGTCCTGCAGAGCGGCAGTTTTCAAGCAATGTTCTAGGAGATCCTGCGGGACAGGCTCCTGGTTCCGGTCTGCCTTAATGGAGGCAGCTCCCACGACAGCGGGAGATCGTTAGCGATCCTACTGACGCAGATCAAAATAACGCAAGGAAATCAGATCCTGCCGTGCGTTGCAATAAATCCATGCTTTATTTATTTTAAAATTTCATTTCACAGTTTAATGTTGTTGATATCTTGAACTCCAATTGCGTGTGTGTGTGTGCACCAGAACCTTTTCAGGCCTCGGGGCCACTTCATTTAGCCCTGGTCTATCGTCTATTCATATAAATTAGCCTATGAAAAGTATATGCAAATCTGTGCCCTCCCTTTCCTGGCACATCCCTTTCCTCCTTTTGGGTGATGTGCAAGTGATCCGCTTAGCAGGGCACCCTGTTCATGTGGGGCAAAGGGGAGGCTCCAGGCAGGCTTGAGCTGATCGTGGACCCTAAAACAGGTGCAGGAAGACTTCCGGCTAACTGGATCTATTCCAGGGATGGGTAATCTCAGACCCAAGACACAGCGCCCCTCCTTCCCCAGGCCTCTCTGTATGCCCCTTGGGACTCTTTCTAGGCCATACCCAGGCACACCAAATTTGTATCTGCCCCCAAATCCCAGGAGAAATTAAAACATCACTCATTTCCTAAGTCCCAGCTGTGCTAAACGTTTAAAGCAGTATTATATCATTTAAAACAATCACAGTTTCTCTCCCCAAGAATCCAGGGAAATGCAGTTTTTTTAAAAAGATATTTATTGAACTTTATTAATAATTTTATTATTTAATATACTTTATTTTCAAAACAACAAAGGAAATGTAGTTTGTTCAGAGGTGGGGACAGCTGTCTACATTAATGCTTGGATGCTGTGCGCCATTTTGATTCAAGGTGGCAGAACGAAACATCACTTTGGCGTGACTTTTCCTGTTTTCTGGGATAGGTTTGGCCACCTCTCGAGATACCATTGCCAACCTTGGGATGAAGGTTTCTAAGATGAGGCATGCATTGATGTTTGAACTCCAGGAGCCATTTGGAATTACCATAGCGTACTGAAACATTTTGGGTGTGACTTCACCCATTTTTGGGCATGAGTTCATACCGCCTCCTGAGATATTGCCACCAAACTTTGCATGAGGGTTCCCAAGTGGGGTGGCAGTGGTTTTTGTTGATGTTTGGATCTGGGCACCAATTAAGAGTCCGGAAGGCTGAAATGTGTGTTTCTTGTCACGGAATAGAGGAAATGTGCATTTATTTGTGCCTTACTGAACACAGATAATGACCTGGCCTCCTATTGATATTTATTCCATCAATGTCAAGGGTGGGACCCAACATTAGTCCTACTCAATAGCAGACTCACTGAAATTAATGGATAGGAAAGAATGTGAAGAGGAGAGACTTTAGCTTTCAAATCTCTATCTGCTGGAACTCTTTTTCTTAGAGGTAGTGATTGGAGGGAGCGGTTCGGAGGCGCCCAGAGCTGGGACTTTCACCCCTTTCTGTTTCAGCAACTGGTAAAAGTCTAGACGGTCTGTTATTATTTTCTGGAAGACAGATCCACAGAGGAGCTTTCTGTTAGAAATGGAGGCAGCTATTCCATTCCCCCATCCCGCTTCTGCATTGCAGCCACAGTGACAATCTGACTTCCACATGGTTACTTTTACCTGTAAGGACTCTAAAACTTCATCGTCTGTGATTTCGGCCTGGGGAGACTTGATGCCAGGGGTGCTGTAAGTTGCCTGGATGATTCTGCTCCGAAACCTTTCAAACTTTCAGTGAAAAGAAGGGCGGGGGAATGAAGTGGACAGTGCCTTAGTTCAAAAATTAGAGAATGTCATTCCTTAGAATCAAAGCTAATGCAGTGAGGCAAAGGTTGCCCCTGGGCAACCTGTTTACATTCGTCCTGGTACATGTGCACAAAGATTCCGAGTACGACCATTCCTTATTCTGATTTCTTTGGGAGAAGGTTGAACAACATTGCACCAAGCAGTCCTTATCCCTCACTTTCCTTATCCCTGTCACTTTCCTTACAGCAAAAGCTCTGGGTTTTTTCGGAAGTGGGTTTATTGCACAAGAGCACCAAATCCACCAGAGTTGCGCAATATGGATTTCCCAGCATGCGACTGAATCGCACCCCTGAAACAGGGACATTCCAGAAGTGGCCAGGATTCTCAGTCACTGATTTGCGAGAGCAATGTTTCATGCCATTTTCAAATTTGTTTCCATCTCTCAAAGAGCACTAGAAACTTAAATTCAGATTTTTATCCATTTAAAATAGCATGGCTTACCCCAAGGAACTCTGGGAAGTGGGGCAAATGGGGTACAGCCCCACAATAAGCAGCTCACCCCCCACCTGCCTGCCTTCTTGCTTACATCCAGCCCTGTGGATGGCCCTGGCTGTCCAATTCCTTCTCCTTAGCCCTAGTGTTGCCCTTGTGGAACTCAGCAGGAAGGAGGATGCAGTCAAAACTAGATCTGGCTCTGCTTGTCATTGGCAGTGGCTGCAGCTGTCACTGGCTCTGGTGCCACGTACTGCCTCCCTGCCAGCCCCAATGGGCATCAACCACCAGACTCTGGGAGCTGCCGTTTTGCAGACCGACAGAATTCAGTTCTGTTCCTGAGGTACTAGTGAAAATACTTTGGGCCTGTGTGTAGACATAAACGTACATTCATAACATTACATGCGCATATGCATGTAAGCATGCAAGCATGCATTAAACAGAAAAGGTCTTGGGTTCAATCCCTGGTAGGTTGCACTGGGCACAAAACTCCTGGAGAGCCTCTGCCAGTAGACATAGACCAGGGTTTCCCAAACTTGGGTCTCCAGCTGTTTTTGGACTACAGCTCCCATCATCCCTAGCTAGAAGGACCAGTGGTCAGGGATGATGGGAACTGTAGTCCCAAAACAGCTGGAGACCCAAGTTTGGGAAGCCCTGGTGTAGACAATACTCAGCTAGATGGACCAACAGCCCTGCCTTTGTTTTAATTGAGTTTAGTAGCGTATTTTTGCACTGCTGTGGTGAAGGGTCGATAAGAAATGCAAATGTTAATAACGGTAATAACAAGGACCTAACAGCAGTAACAGTGGTGGTAGCAGTGGTTGAAGAAGCCCTGCGATCTGTGGAGAAGATTACCCTGGCACTGATGCTCTCCAGAGTGACTCTGGTTTGCAGCTCTGCCCGCTGCAAGATCTCCAGCTGCCTCTGCAGATCGTTCTCCTGGCTCAGCTGGTTCCCAACATGGTGCTGATTCAGTAACAGCTCGGCCTGGAGCCGGTTGACGTTGCTCTGCAAGTCATCAGTCATCTGGCTCTTGTCAGTTAGTTTGGATTCCAGATCAGCAAGGTCCTGCGTGGCAGGAGAGGAGAAAGATAGAACTGTTAACTAAGAGTAAGGATGGAGGTTTTGATTTTGTCTGCTTTCTAATGGGAAACTACCTAATTTACAGTTCCCGGACTAATAAACAAACCGAAACGCAGCTATCCTTTGAAAATCCACACTGCGCCGAATTTTTCTCCAGCCAAACACTGTGCGCAACAATAATTGAAATGTGAGAGGAGAGTGCAAAATGGCTGCTGTGGGGGCACGGCATATCAGAAGATGGCTGCTGTCGTGGGACAGCTTGGGCCAATCATTATCTCTCGGTCTAACCTACCTCAAAGGTAGGATAAAAGTGGAGAGAGGGAGACACGTATACAGCACCTTGGGCTCCTTGGAGGACAAGTGGGATAGAAATGTAGTAATTAATAAAGCAAAAAACAAAACAGAATAATGGCTTGAATGTAAGAGAGGCTGAGGCTGTAGAAACAGGAATGGTGCATGAAAAGCTCAGTCTCTTTTGCAGGTGCCTTAGGAGTTACAGGCAATCACACTGGTGCCCATGGGCACCACACTGGAGACCCACAATTAGAACTTAGGAACTTGCTTTGTGGATTCAGTTTGCATTTAGTGGCAAAGCCACCTGATTTGCACTTTCTGCAACAAGAAATGAACTGAAGCACAGTCCAGCCACTGAAATTCACACTTCCCCAAATTTTCCAGTGCAGTTCCCCAGACAGGTAAGGTGTGGGGGGAAATGCATACGCTAGGGTGCAGCGCACCTGCAAATGCATATATGTGGGGAAATATAATTTTAAAATGCCTCAAATTAGAGGAAATGCATGCAACAATGGGCATATTAGGAGAAATTCAAACGGAAATGCTGAGGAAGTTCATGAGGACTCCCCGCCACCCCCGACACACACAAAAAATGCAAACTGATGTGGAAATGTGGAGAAGCGAAGTTTAAGACTGGAAAAAATGAGAGAAACCAAAACTGAGATATTCGCCCTCCCTACTGGCAGGGAGCAGCAACTCACCTGCCTGAGATTGTAATTCTCTCTCTCGATGGAGCCCATCATTTCTTCGTGCTTCCTCTCCTCTCTCAAGTTGCTAAACTAAAATAAAAAGGCAAGCATGATAAAGGGCTCCATTTAGTATGCTTGTTTAGTACAACTCCATTTAGTATGTTCACGGCCCGGCGGAAATCCCAGCTGGAAAGTACAGCCCGTAAGAATACAGGAAGCTTCCTTCAACTCAGCCAGAGCAAAGCTGCATCTATTTATTTTTTTTTAAAAAAAGATATTTATTAAAATTTTCAAAATATTACAAAAAGAAAAATACAAAATAAAAATAATTAAAAACAATTCCATCTTTTCCATTACTTATCTTTCATTTGCTTGTTTCCCGGACCTCCTCACACCTCCCTTTTTTGTATTCCAATTCAATTTGTTAGTTCAGCAAATCCTTTCCCTCTTTGTTTATCCTAGTCTATAATCTTAAAGTATTACAACATTACATTTTTACCTGTTAATAATCCATTTTTTTCATATTCCTTTATAGCATTACAGCTAAAAACCACTTAACTTCTTATCCAACATCATTCTAACATTCATTAATTTTGCAGTATTTCTGTAAGTAGACTTTAAACTTTTTCCAGTCTTCTTCCACCGACTCTTCTCCCTGGTCTCGGATTCTGCCAGTCATTTCCGCCAGTTCCATATAGTCCATCACCTTCATCTGCCATTCTTCCCGGGTGGCAGAGCACAGCTTCATCTAACTCAGTATTGCCTTGATTACTTAAACTGCAGAATTCGCTCCCACAGGAGGTAGCGATGGCTGCCAACCAATTATTTAGGGTTAGACCAATTCATGGAGAAGGCTGTCAATGGATCCTAGCCACAATGGCCATGCTCTGCCTCCGTAGTTGGGAGGCAGTAATGCTACTGGAACACCAGTTGCTGGAAACCACAGGAGGGAAGGAGTGCTCTTGTGATTTTGGACCCTTTGATTTTAGCTCCCTCCTCAGGCTAATTCCACCTGGCCCAGGGGGCGGGGCCCAGACTGACCCACCACCGCCATGGCTTTGGGAGGCTGCTGACACTGCTTTGACACTGCTGCTGCTGCTGCACCGTGGGTGTTGAGGAAGGCCACTCCCTCCTGTAGGCCCACTCCACCAGGCCTAGGGGGCTGGACCCACACTTGCCACCGCTACAGTTTTAAGGACACTGGTGTTGCTGCAGCAAATGTTAAAAATGTTTTTATATATTTTAAAGTGTTTTAAAGGGGTTTTTACTTTTTACTTTGTTGTACCACCGTGAACGGTGGTTTTTATTGATGTATTTTTATTTTGTTCCGTTTTATTTTGGTTTGGGGTTGGATATTGAGTGGGGTGGGGATTTGTTTTGTTTGGTACAATTGTTTTTGGTTTGATTTGTTTTTCTATTTTGTAAATGGAGGTTGGTTTGAGGCTTGGGATTGCTACCGTAGTGGGGCGAGGGAGGTATGGCGGTGGGGGCAGATGTCATAGGCGAAGGGGATCGAGATACGGATATGCTCATACCCCTTCCAATCTGCGCCCCATCCCGAGGGACGAAGGTAGGGTGAGCAAGGATTACTCACCTCCGTCACTGGTGTTGTGCAATGCCAGGTCTATAGGCAACAAAACCGCCACCCTGCGAGACTTCTTCACCTCGCAGGGGGTTGACCTGGCTTGTGTGACGGAGACCTGGGTGCGCGAAGGGGAAACTGTTACCTTACGAGAGATGGCGCCCCCGGGTTTCTCCGTCCTCCACCAGTCGCGGACTGTGGGCTGGGGGGAGGGGTGGCATTATTAATCCGGGAAGATTCTTCTTTCAGGGCTCTACCATCGCCATCGATCCCCGGCATTGAATGTGTTGGCCTAGTGTGGGGCTCCGAGGTGAGCTTGGTTGTCTGGCTGGTGTACCGGCCACCTAGCGCAACAGCAGCCACCCTGTCAGGCCTGTTGGAGGCGGTGGCCGGCTGGGCCTTGGAGTTCCCTAACCTATTGGTATTGGGGGACTTCAACATCCATGCTGATGCCACTCTCTCCTCACAGGCTCTGGACCTGGTGTCTTCCATGGCGACACTAGAGCTCTCCCAGTTTGTTTCGGGCCCCACACATCAAGCAGGCCACATGCTGGATTTGATCTTTGGCATAGGTATAGATGTGATCATGTCTCCTTCGATGAAGGTGCCATGGTCTGATCACTACGCTCTGAAAGCCAGGATTGATTTTCCACCCCCACCCTGCTTAGGTGGCGAGCCAATTTGGGCTCGCCCGCAGAGGCTGATGGACCCTGATAGATTCCGTCAGGCCTTGCGGGACCTTGCTCCCCCTGGTGACTCATTGACTGAGCTTGTTGAGGGCTGGAATATCCAGCTCCTAGCAGCCATTGATGAGATCGCATCTAGGGGCCCTCTGCGACCCCGCAGAAACCGGGCTCCCTGGTTTACCGAGGAGCTTCGGAAAATGAAACGGGACCTCAGACAGCTAGAGCGAGTATGGCGGGGTGCCCGTGACGGAGCCTCAAGAACATCTTATAGGGTTTTTATGAAAACCTACGAGATGGCAGTGAAGGCCGCTAAGAAGTCCTACTTCTCGGCCTCCATTGCCTCCGCTAGCTCTCGCCCGACGCAATTATTTAGTATAATTAGGTCGTTAACGTCCCTTGAAGGACAGCCAAATTTAAATTTGACACACAGCTGTGAAGCATTTGCGAGCTTTTTTGCGGAGAAGGTCCTGTTGCTCCGCCATGACCTCCCTGCCAATTTGGATACAATAAAGGAACTGGAGGCCCCTCGACTGTCCTCGGGTCCAGTATTGGACCACTTCGACCGGATATCCCCAGCCGATGTGGACAGACTCCTCCGAGCTGGAAAGCCCACCACCTGTCCTCTTGACCCGTGCCCGTCTTGGCTGATTAGAGCGTGTCCAGATGAGGTGCGGGCCCCCCTGGGTGAAATCATCAATTTGTCCCTTGGCACCGGGATATTCCCAGGGGAACTGAAGGAGGCAGTGGTGCGCCCGCTCTTAAAGAAAACATCATTAGATCCCTTAGACCTATCCAATTACCGCCCGGTTTCGAATCTTCCATTCCTGGGTAAGGTGATTGAGAGAGCGGTTGCTGAACAGCTCGGTAGGTTTCTGGATGAAACATCGGCTCTTGATCCATTCCAGTCCGGCTTCCGCGCTGGTCATGGGACCGAGACGGCTCTGGTGGCCCTAACAGATGATCTCCGCAGGCAGCTGGATCGAGGCAGGTCGGGGCTGCTGATTCTTCTAGACCTGTCAGCAGCCTTTGACATGGTCGATCACGAACTCCTGAACCACCGCCTTGCCGACGTGGGGATCCAGGGCACAGTCCTTCAATGGCTGCGCTCGTTTCTCTCTGGTCGGGGACAGAGGGTGGCGCTTGGGGGGGAATTGTCATCGCGCCACTCCTTGGTGTGTGGAGTGCCTCAGGGTGCGATTCTCTCCCTGATGCTTTTTAACATCTTTATGCGCCCCCTCGCCCAGCTTGTCTGGAGTTTTGGGCTGGGTTGCCATCAGTATGCCGATGACACCCAACTCTATCTGTTGATGGATGGCCATCCTGACTCGGCCCCAGACACACTGACCAGATGTCTGGAAGCTGTGGCTGGAAGGTTACGTGGGAGCCGGTTGAAGTTAAATCCTTCGAAGACAGAGGTCCTCTGGCTGGGACGGGGCGATATGGGATTGAGGGGGCAACTCCCATCTCTTGCGGGGGTGCAATTAGTGCCAGCATCGTCCGTTAAGAGTTTGGGTGTAATCTTTGATACCTCCCTCTCTATGGAGGCGCAGCTATAACAAAGGCGGCATTTTTCCATCTCCGCCAAGCTAAGCAGTTGGCTCCTTATCTCTCTCGCCCTGACCTAGCCACTGTGATCCATCCGACGGTCACCTCCAGACTGGATTATTGTAACTCGCTCTACGTAGGGCTGCCCTCGAGACTGACCCAGAAACTCCAGCGGATGCAGAATGCCGCGGCGAGACTCCTTATGGGGTCTTCGCTGCGAGATCATATTCATCCGGTACTATACCAGCTGCACTGGCTCCCGGTGGAGTACAGGATCAGGTTTAAGGTGCTGGTTTTAACCTTTAAAGCCCTATACGGCCTAGGACCCTCGTACCTACGGGACCGCCTCTCCTGGTATGTCCCACAGAGAAATTTACGATCTGCAAATAAAAACATCCTGAAGATCCCAGGCCACAGAGAGGTTAGGCTGGCCTCAACTAGAGCCAGGGCTTTCTCGGCTGCGGCTCCAATCTGGTGGAACGCTCTGTCACAAGAGACTAGGGCCCTGCAGGACCTGACATCTTTCCGCAGGGCCTGCAAGACAGAGCTGTTCCACCAGGCCTTTGATCAGGGCACAGCCTGACCCCCTCCTCTGGCAATCTGCACAGAATGTTGCTTAATGGTTGTCATTAATTTGATTTTAATTAACTTTATAATGAATGTTTTTAGAATGTTGGATTATTTTGATTGTTGTTAGCCGCCCTGAGCCCAGCTTTGGCTGGGGAGGGCGGGATATAAATAAATTATTTTTTTTAAAAAAAGGATGCTGGACAAAATGGACCACCGGCCTGATGCAAGAGCAGGGCCCTTGGTACGTCCTTATGTCTACTCCCATCTGCCAGCAGCTCTGCAGGATCTCGGGCTGGGGACCTTTCCAGCACTGCCTGGAGATGCTGGGGATTGAACCCAGGACAATTCTGCTTGCAAAGCGGATGCTCTACCACTAAGCCATGGCAACTTCCTCCAAGTGCCACGTGAACCTCCAGCCAGCCACAGACCTGCCATCTCACCATAAGGCCTGAAGATCTTAGCAGCAAACCTGCTAGAAACATGTAGAGGGGGCAATCCATTCTCTCAGCCCTCTCAGGCACCTAGGAAGTTATCTTATGCTGAGTCAGACTACTGGTCCAACTAGCTCAGTATTGGCTGCATGAATGCCAGTGGCTGTCCAGGGTTTCAGAGAGGAGGCTGTTCCAAATCCTTATCTGGAGATAGCGGGGATTGAACTGGATACCTTTTCTTTCTCCAGTTAATTTTTATCTATTTTTACAAATCCATAATGAATTAAACAACTTTAATACAGTGGTACCTCGGGTTACAGAGGCTTCAGGTTACAGACTCTGCTAACTCAGAAATAGTACCTCGGGTTAAGAACTTTGCTTCAGGATAAGAACAGAAATTGCGCAGCAGCAGTGGGAGGCCCCATTAGCTAAAGTGGTACCTCAGGTTAAGAACAGTTTCAGGTTAAGAACTGACCTCCAGAACGAATTAAGTTCATAACCCGAGGTATCACTGTACAACTTTTTAAAAAATAAATAAATAATGGCTTCCCAGATGTGCCAATACTTAACCCTTATTGCTGCTTATATTTCATAATTATCTCTAATTCACAATTTCCCCCTTTTGTACTTGTCCATTCATTTGTCAATTCCTGCTTGTACATTAGTTAACATTTCCAATGTTATGAAGTGAGGATTGCTCATCCGTTTATCAATCCACATTAACCCATTAATTATTATTTCTGAAACAAAACCTTCATTTCCCTCCATCTGTGTATATAAAAAACTTAATCATTCCCACTCTGTAGTTGTTTTCCATTCGATTCTTAATTTGTAACAAATTCACATCAAATTAATTTGAATTCCCTACATCTTTAAAAGTGTCCTGGAGTGGAGACCTTCCTTACAGAAAGCAGGTGCTCAACCACTGAGAAACGGCCCCCTCCTCACCACCTCATGCATTCAGCTATTTAAGAGCACGCCTTAAAAAATTACAAGAATTCTCAGCCTTCCCCGCAATCCAAACCCAGCAGAACTGTGTAAACCCCCCAATCAACATACTTTATTAGACATGGCTTCCAGCTGAGCTCCCCGCTCCCTCAGCTCCTTCTGCAATGATTCTCGCTCTGCGTGAGCTTTCCTGAGCTGGGATGCCTCAAAGGATAGCTGCCTTTGCAAGGAAGATATCGCGCCTAGGGAATCAAAAGAAAAGCCCGTGAAGGTGATCGAGGCCACCCAGTATGGATCGCCAGAAACTCTCCACTAGCACGAACCCTCTGAATTAACAAGAGAGGGACCTGCAAACCAATGTTGCTGTTTTGCTTTTGCCTTCTTGCAGGCATGTTCTCGTCCAATGGACAACCAATCCCAATCCCAGGAAACTCCATTCCATTCCCTGTGCCCTGGTTTTCTTTTCCTTTTCCAATGGGCTACCATGCCCAATCCCAGGAAACTCCATTCCATTCCCATTCCCTGGTTTTCTTTTCTTTTTCCAACCAACACTCAGCAATCCGTGGTTGCTAGGCACGCTCAGCTCTCATTGGGCTCTTGAGGAGGTCACCCGCTTAGGATTCCAAAATGATTGTTTTGCATTTCACCTAACCTCAGGGTTCCACTGAGCATGCTCACAACTCCCTCTTGTTTCTCAGTGGCCTCACCTTAGTTCCATTTCAATCAGTGCCTACAATGTGAGGTTACCTCCAGAAGGGGTGACTCTTGGTTTCCCCAAGGAAAATATTAGCCAACCCATTTCCATATATAACCATCTCAGCTTTCCAAAGTTACCTGTGGCCATGTCATAATTGCATTTCACTTTCTCCAGCTCGTCGTACAGCTCGTCGTTCATCCTCTGGAACTTGAAAAGCTTGATAAAAAGGAGCTCCTCTTCCGATTCTTCCATATGCACTTCTTCGTAAGACCCACTTTCCACACGCATCTCTTCCTCGCCCTCCAAGCGTACCTTTTCCTGTATTTCAGAGTACTGCGCAGAGAGAGCGCAAAGAAAGACTGGGATGCCAAAGTAAGGGCATGGGAGAAAGCCAATTTCGTTCGCGTTTTAACAGGAAACTACCCAACCCGGGACTTCCGGGTTAGCGCCATTGACTAATGGCGGATTCCCTCTGAGCTCCGGAGGGAATCGGCTGCGCAGGATTGGGTCTTGCCGCTGCGGCGACGCAGGGACCCTTAAAAATCACAGGCGGTGAAGCCTGTGAGCGTGGTGACTCGGCGGGCACCATTTGCGCCCCCCGACCTGTGAAGGAGCCTTTTTAAAGGCTTCGGAACGGGGGACGTGGTGAGCGGCGTGGTGCTGAGAGTCGACTGCTTCTCCTGCGGAGTGAAGCCGCACTGCCATGGTCGGAGAGCGCTGACTTCTTCTTGTGAGCAATTGGACCTTAAAGTAACAACCCGTGAGTAGTACGGAATTTGGAACTGTAAAGAAAATTTTTTTACGAATTAGGCACGATCGGGGAAGGTGTAAACAGGAAGTCCGCCTCCCCTCCTTGTAAATAATTTAAAGCAAGGACCTGCTAACTAAGGTCGAGAGAACCCTTTTTTTGTTTCCTTTTTTGGTAAAAGATTTTAATTTCACGGTTTGGCAGCATAAGAAATCTTACTGGAGGATAAAGAGCTAATTTTGGGAGCTGAAGTGTCACCCCCCCGGACCCGGGAGTGCTCCGCGAGAGAGCCTGTTGATGAGGTACTGAAGAGTTTGACAGCTGTCAAATTAGCTGTCAAGATGGAAAAAGAGAACTTTGTTTCTGTTGCTTCTGCTGGTTATGTTTGTTACAATTTTGTTATAATTTGTTGAAAACAAGGAAGAGCCGATACAAACTAACTTGATTTTTGGATTTGAACTGGAAGGAATATTAAGGAACCAAAATCCCTCTAGAGGGGGTTGTGGGACATTACAAGAATGGCTGGAGAAGGGAAAATTCAGGCTGAACTGGACAGAGTATTTGTTCTCTTGGGAAAGTTACAAGGCCAAATTGATGTTTTGGCTACAAATGTTACAACTCTGGACTTAACAGTAAACAACATCATTGAATTTGATAAGGATTTGAATCAGGAAGCCTACTCAATTGGACAAAAAGAGAAGCTTGAGAGCTCTGAGAATTTGGAGAAGGAGATATATGTTGTCCCTGAAGAAAAGGAAGGAGTTGTAATTTTGCAGATGACAAAGGAGAGTTTGAGGCCTGACATGAAGGTAACAAAAGAAAATAAAAGCTTGATGTGGAAAATCTGGCCTGAATTTGAGATTGAAAAATGGAGAGATCTCCTTATGTGGAGATCTAAAGACCTAAGGATTACAAATTTGCTTAAGGTGGAAGTTGGAGCTTTGGGGACATTTGAACTTGAAAGGAGTAAGAAACAAGATTCAGGCTCCACTTTTAAGCATGGAGGTCTGGCTGGAAGAAACATGGATCCTGTTGGGCCAGAGCTTCTCCGAGATTTGGTGTTCAATATTAAGGACTATCCAAAAAACCGGCAGAGAGGAATTGAGAGAACTAAGAGCCTTGGATGTGAGATCTCCAGGCTAACAGTAGATTAAGACTGATGGACATTTGTTGGGGACTGAAACCGGGAAAGGGGGGGTGGAGTCTGGGAATCCAAAGGGTACATAACTATAATTTCTTCTGTTTTCATTTTGTTTTGTTATTGGTATGAAAATTGGGAAATTCGTGGAAGGGAATTTGGGTCGACTTTAGAAAATATGTTTTAAGAATGAGTATTGATGTATAAGTATTGATGTATAAGCTTGGATAAGGCAAAATTGGGTAAGGATTTGCTGAACTAGTAATTTGAATTGGAATACAAGAGGGGGAGGTATGAGGAGGTCAGGGAAATATGTTATTGAAAAATAAGTATTGTGAACTTTATGTGTTTTTAAACTTTTTCTCTTTTTCTTTTTTGATTCTTTTTTTATTGTATTAAATTTGAAAACTTTAATAAATATCTTTTTTTTAAAAAAAGGAAACTACCCAATCCGTACTTCTCAAAGCAACACGTGAGCTGGAACACAATTAGCCTTTGAAATCTGCACTTCTCCAAATTTTGTACTGCGGCTCTCCAAGCAAGAAAAGCATGCAAAATATGCACACCCTAAGGAGAAGATTTGCATAGAAATGCATACCTTACTGAAAACAGCATTCAAAAATGCATTATAGTAGGGGAAACTGCATTCCCCCCCCAAAAAAAAGGGTATGTTAGGAGAAATCCACACTAAAATACTGGTGAATTCTCATGAGAATTTAGGGGTTGTTTGGGTTTTTTTCCCCTTCAAAAGTGCAAATTGCTGTAGAAATGTGCAGAACCAAATTTACAACTGGAAAATGAGGAAACTGGCCTCTGCTAGGTTCCTCTACTCAAACGTTTCCCCTTCTTCCTCCATTTTCCCTGCCTGGATTAGACCTTTTACTCACCAACGAGGCAGAACTTTAGGGTACGGGTCCTGGGACCCCACAGAGTGAGCAGATGGGCCCCCGTTAAACGCAGCAGCAGGTCGGACCACATTTGGAAGTAAGCAAAGTGATGAGGATGACTTAGGCACATAAAACCTTTCTTAAACCAAGCCAGAAGCTTGCTCCACTTTGTTCAGCATTGTCTACATGGACTGGCAGCACCTCAAGAGGGTGACCTGGAGACACTGGGGATTGAACCTTCTAAAGGAGTAGGGTCCTTAAGACCAGAGTCTAAAACCACCTAACTTCACCACTGCTGACTTTGACCCTGATAAGGAGGGTGCCAGCCAGGTCAGTTTGGACACTAGAGAATGAGGTCTTGCTGTGGCCTGGGGGAAAGGCAGGATAGCAAGGGAAAGGGACTCCCAAGGGCCAGGTAGGCAATCCTGGGGGCCACAACTGAACCACAGGTCAAAGGGTGCCCATCTCTAGCTTGGGGAGGGGGCAGGGTTCTGCCCAGCCCCATAGACATTCTGTACTTCTGCAAATCTTTGTGTGTTCCCCATACCTGCAGAAACTTCCCCTCTTTTGTGCGGACGGTGCTGTTTCGGCTCTATGGACACCAGAGCTTGGGAAACGAATTTGCTACGAGTGTAGAAAAATTTCTCCCCGACTGGTCTTTGGGCTCACCTCTTTCTCCAGCTGCTCCAGTTCATTCTGTTCCTTCAGCAGCGTCTTGCTAAGGAGAGCCATCTTGGAGTCCACCTGTTTATCTGTCTGGGCCAGCTCCAATTTCAACCGCTCCAATTCCTGCCGAAATTCTTCCGGGATGCTCTTCTGCTTCATAAGGACCGGCAGAGAGACACCTCGCCTGCGCAGGTTTGGGTCACTCACTTGCACCGTAAGTTTTTCTTCCGGTTCCTTTTAAGGAGAGGGATAAAAGATTCAGAAGGCGCTGAAGCTGGAAACTGAGGGCGCAGCCCTCCAGTAACTTGGGGAAATGCTGCTAGAACTTGCAAGGTTATCTCAGAACTGTTGTAGGAAATACTGGGCACAGAGGTTGCAAAGCATAGGAAGCATAGGGACTCTGCCGGCCATTGACTCTGGCTGTGCCTGCCACTGGCTTTGGCGCCACCTACTGTTGGCCTCCAGGCCTTCCACCCTACCAATCCCTATAGGCACCAGCCACCACTGAGGGCGAATCCACCAAGCATATCTCCAAGCATTTGCCATTAGCACAGAGGCTGTGCATTCACTTGCCCTGCTCTCCCTTTAGTTGGATTGCAAAGTAAGAGCCCCTGGCACATATAGAGGCTTACAGAATTACACACAGACAGCCAATGTAGTGTCGTGTGGTTCGGGATCCTTCTTTTCATAGAACTGCAGAGTTGCAAGGGACCTCGTGAGTCATCTAGTCCAACCCTCTGCAATGCAGGAATCAGAGAATCATAGAATTGTAGAGTTGGAAGGGACCATGGGGATTATCCAGTCCAACACCCTGCAATGAGGTAGCTGCCAGCGGTCCCCCATGGCTCGTATCCACTAGGAGCCTCTCTGTGTTCAGTGCCTTGGATCCAATTTTTGTGGCGCTCCCTTCCAGTTGAGGTCAGGCAGGCCTGTTGAATGTCCAGTGCTTAGTGAATTTTTTCTTTTCCAAAGATTATCTCAGCAGGTCGTTCAAGTGAATGCTGATTTCATAGTTTTAACTCACATTTAGTCTCACTGTATAGTGGTTAAGCGACATGCAAATTGTTGAAATGAAAATTTAAAAAACAGTGGTTCATGTGCCAAACTAGGACCCGGGAGACCCGGGTTCAGATCCCCACTTGGGTGTGAAGCCTGCTAGTTAACCTTGAGCTAGCCTCAGCCTCTCAGCTTAACCTACCACGCAGGGCTGTTGTGAGAGTAAAATGTGGAGCAGGGGAGAACCACGTATACGCCAATCTCAGCTCCTTGGAGGAAAAACAGGACAGAAAGGCAGTAAATGAATAAACAAATAAGAAGGACTGGGCCAACCTTCTGGGCGGGTCTCTCCACTGGGGTGAGCTCACCCCCCTGCTGGGCCTGGTCCAGCTGCATCTGCATCACTTCCAGCTCCTCCCGGAGGACTGAGATCACGTCATCCTTCCGGACGCTCTCTGCTTCGCAGTTGGCAAGGCGGACGAGTTCCGCTTCCATCTTTTTCAAAGTTGTATCCTGGGGGGGGAGATATGAGAACAGCCAGGTTGAGACCTCAAAGACACTTCCTACAGTTGCATGACATGGGTGCCCCACCAGGGCAATAAACACTTTGTCCATTTACATGGCAAGGGTGGGGAACCTCAGGTTACAGGCCAAATGCAGCCGCCCAGGCTGCTCTTCCTGGCCCTTGCAGCACTCCTTGGCCATTCCCCCTTACTGGCCCTACTCTATGCCCTCCTTGAGAGTTTCTGCCTGGCTGGAAGGTGTTCCAGAGCTCGGTTCATGCCTCTTACTTGCCTTGGCAGAGTATGGAGAAATGGATGCTTCTGTATAGAAAGCCCTGCTGGAATGTAGGCTGCTGTGCAAAGGGAAAGAGCTGCCCCCGCTGCCCTGCCTATTTTCCACCTCTGGCTGTGCCCCCTGCTGGCATGCGGGCCCCGCAGAAGGCTCCCCACAAGGGAATGTGGCCTCGAGCTGAAAACAGGTGCCCTTGACTGTTATATGGGGTAGGGAGGGAAGACAGCCATGCTCAGATACAAGGAAGACTACTGATGTAGCCCAATATTTTTTACTCTGACAGGCAGACAATCTCCAGGAGCCAGAGATCTTTCCATCAGCTGTATGTTCCCAAGCCCCAATTCATCATGCCGACTTGGGTCTATAAAGGCCCGTGTAGTTCAGGACCCCTATATCTTTCAGAGCGCTTCTCCGGGTGTTGAACCTACTCAGATCCATTGACCTGCACCAGAAGGCCCACTTTCGGGTGCCTCCCTGGAAGGGCACGTAGTGGAAATTGTAGAACTGTATATGCTTTGATAAATAGCCTACACATGGTATAAAAACCTGTAACTAGAGAAGGATAGCTCTATTACTCTGGCTGTATTCATGTTTGTCTGATGGAGAGCAGGCTCCAATATGGCAGGCATGCTTTCCGCCTGAGAACGGGACTTACTTTCCATGCACCTGTAAAACTAAGGTGAGGGCATGGCTCTATATAAGCCTGCGTAATTCATAGGCTTGCAGTTTCCACTTTTGCGTTCTCCCCAGAGGCTGTTGCTGTGACCAAGTAAAGTTGCCTTAAACATCACAACAGTGTGGTTATACTGAAGAACTCCACTACAGGCATGAGTCCCCCCATGCTCAGCATCCAGGGTACCAGGATGGGCCTGGCCAGTGCCAGTGCTTTCCAGTAAGCCTTGCACGGCCCAGTTCCCTGCTCCCTTTCCTCTGCCAAGCTGCTTTGACAGTTACATCCTTACCTTTTCCTGCAGCAGACTGACGAACCATGGGATTCTGCTTCCTTTGCGGGTTTGGCTTTTCAGGTAGACGCTGCCTGTGAAGCCCTCGGTGAAACTTTTCAACTTAGGCAACCCAGACATGCTCTGAGTAGATGAGGCCGGACAATCTGTGTGTGCAATGGCAACGGAGTGGAGGAGAGAAAGGCACCGTCAAGGTAGTGCTATGGATCATCTCCGACGCTAGTCCTGAATCTGCTGGGATGCGACTGAAACCCACATGGGTCTAGCAATCATCAATGTATTAAATGTATCGTTAAAGGGCTCCACTATTGCCATGGCACCCTGGGGAACCTTTTTCATCCCAAGGGCCACATTTCCTTTTCAGCAACCTTCTGGGGGGCCACATGCTAGTGCTGGGTGAGGCCAGAGGCAAAACTGGGTGGAGCAATAAATTTAAACTTTACTTTTGCGGTAGACTAGTCTCTATAGGCACCCCCCCACCTCTCTCTATCCTTCCTGTGTGTTGACGAGGGTGGAGTGTAGGACTAGGACAGAGTTTCCCAAACCTGGGCCTCCAACTGTTTTTGGACTACAATTCCCATCGTCCTTGACCACTGGTCCTGCTAGCTAGGGAAAGGAAAGGAGTTGTTAGCAGAGTACAATGATGCATCTCAGCCAGACAAAAGCACACATGCAGGTACACAGCAGGGGTGTGGGCTGTGAACAGGATGTAGCCTGGAGAGAGTCCCAAGGGCCCAAAAGAGAGGCTTGAAGGGCCATCTTTGGTGCTGGGCTGAGGTTCCCCATCTCTGCACTACAGAAAAACACAGCCCATTGCTCCACCTAACTCAGGGATGGGGAACCTGCTGCCTTCCGTATGTTGTTGGACTCCCAGCTCCCACCACTACTTACCATTGGCCATGCTGGCTGGAGGCTGATGGGAGTTGCAGCCCAGCAGTGCCTGGATGGAGAACCATAGGTTGGGGAAAGCTGTCCTCCAGCCCACTACACCACCCTGGCCTCCCACAGAGACTGCCTCTTCCTCTTGAGCCTTACCAAGGTCAGATGTTGAAGTAGCTCTGTGGCTGTACCTGGGGCACCCAGGGCGCATGCGGAAGGATTTCCACAGCTCCTCCTCGGGCGTGTAGGGAGACCTTGTAGGGCTCGCCAGCTGTTCCTTAGCCTGGGGAAGGAGAGGAATTGAGGGTGCAAAGGAGACGAAAAAGGAGGCACCACATCGGCAACCTCTGCTGTTAACGGCATCATGCACTGAGCAGGCAGGGCTGGACTAAATGACGTCCAGGGCCCTTTCACATTCGTGCTAGGATTCTGCTCGTATCAAGGCTTTGCCTACCTGCTTCTCATAGTACTCCCTCACTGCTTGGCCTGCTTTGCTGGAGATGGTTTTGCTGCTGGATGGAGGAGTCCACACCGGATTGTTCTGCTGCGACTGCTGCCGCTGCTTCCGGTTGCTCATTTCCTGCAGCACTGTGAAGCTCTTCCTCATCAAGGTGTCACGTTTCTCCATGAGGGCAGCGGCTCAGTTGCTCCCGTTGCAACAAAGGGGTAAAGAGCCCTGCAAAGTTTAAAAGCCCGTTATGAGAAAAAGAGACCTTCTTATTGTCAGATGGGGTATATAGGACTGAACAAAGACTGTGAGCCTATGCACACTGTGTCTGTGGATAGACACCCCCCCCCACACACGCCTACTGAACATGAGTGGGACATACTTCCGACTGAGACGAGCTTGGCTGCTGGATCAGGCCAAAGGCTAATCCAACCTGGACCACACACTTGTCATCTGAGGCCCTTCTCTACATCCCCCATCCCAGAAAAGTTTGGAGGGTGACAAGAGCCGGGCCTTTTCTGTGGTGGCTCCCCGATTGTGGAACACTCTCCCCAGAGCCATCATTACATGTCTTTAGGCACCAGACAAAAACATTATTCTTTACCCAGGCCTTTAGCCACTAAATAACCTCTAGCCTGTGGAAGTGTGTGGGAGAGGACTGTGATGATGACTATTGCCTTATTAGGCTGTCTGTACGTATGCTTTTTATGTTTTTTATCATGGATGTTCTGTAATGTGTTTTTAATGTTGGACATAGCCCTGGGATCTTTTGATAGCTGGCGATATAAAAATTGAATTCATAATAATAAAAGTCCAAAGTCCTGTTTTTGGGTCAAGTAGCAGGATTTAAACTGAATAAGCAGAAAACTAAAGTTTTGGAGAAAAATCTAACAAATGCTGAAAAAGAGAGGTTTCAGAGTGAAACAGGTTTAGTGATAGCAAAGAAAGTGAAATACCTGGGGATAAATCTAACATCTAAGAATGTGAACTTATTTAAAGACAATTATGATAAATGCTGGACAGAAGTAAAGAAAGATTTAGAAATATGGTCAAGATTGAAACTTTCCTTGTTAGGCCGAATTGCTGTCATCAATATGGTATGACAAGGTAAAAACTCATAAAGGTTTTAAAAACCATATTGTCAGAAAAGCATTATATAACGTTTGGATGCGGTATAAAGATTTACTGGAAAGCAAAACTCCCAGGTGGTTATCACCAATGGAAGCCAAGGAAGTGAAAAAACTTAATATGGAGTCTAAATGGCCTAAATACTGGGAAATTTTAGAGCAAGATGAGGGAAAAATTAAACTACAGAGCTATGAAAAATTGAAATTTAAGGTACGAGACTGGCTTCATTACTATCAAATATTGGAGGTGTTTAAACAGGACAGGAAAATTGGCTTCCAGACGGAGAGGTCAAAACTAAAAACAGAACTGTTAGAACCCAATACTAAGAACTTGTCTAAAATGTATAATCTGCTGTTGAAATGGAATACACAGGATGAAACGGTGAAATCAGCTATGATTAAATGGGCACAAGACATCGGTCATGACATTATGTTTGCTGACTGGGAACAGTTATGGACCACCGGTGTCAAGTTTACGGCATGTAATGCCTTAAGAGAAAATATTATGAAAATGATTTACAGGTGGTACATGACCCCAGTCAAGCTTGCAAAAATTTATCATTTGCCCAATAATAAATGCTGGAAATGTAATGAGACTGAAGGTACCTCTTACCACCTTTGGTGGACCTGCCCGAAGATTAAAGCCTTTTGGGAAATGATCTATAATGAAATTAAGAAAGTCCTTAAAAGGACTTTTCCTAAGAAACCTGAGGCTTTTCTCCTGGGCATGGTTGGCCAATTGGTGTTAAGGAAGGATAGGACGTTTTTTATGTATGCTACCACAGCAGCAAGGATTATTTTAGCAAAGTATTGGAAGACACAAGAACTACCCACACTGGAAGAATGGCAGACAAAGGTGATTGACTATATGGGACTGGCGGAGATGACTGGCAGAATCCGTGACCAGGGGAAAGAGACAGCGGAAGAAGACTGGAAGAAATTTAAAACATATCTTAAAAATTGTTGTAAAATTGAGGAGTGTTAAAATGTCAAGGAATTGGGAAATAGAGAATTGCAGCTGTAATTAATAAGTTAGAGAAGAACTCAAAAGAAAATGAATTGTATAATTTGTTAATTAGAGGAGTTGCTGAAGAAACATAAAACAAGGATGCAGAAAAGGGGAGGTATGGGGAAGTCCGGGAAGCAAGGTGTATGAAAATATGGTTATGAAATTATACATGTTTATGTGTTTGTATGTTTGTGTATTGTGTATTGTTTGTGTTTATTTTGTGTTTGGAAAACCAATAAAAATTTATTAAAAAACAACAACAACAAAGTCCTGTCTTTGGAGTGGCCAACCAGAAGCCCCTGGGAAGCCTGTCAGCAGGACCTGAGTGAAGATATACTCTCTCCCAGCAAAAGGTATTCAAGAGGTCTACTGCCTTCGACAGCAGAGCACAGCTGTCTGCTAGCCACAGGTAACCTTATCCTCCACAAATAACATCACTTCCACTATTAAAGCTTACCTTTGAGTAAATGCAGTTAGGAACGTGGCATAAAGCAATCTATTTCAGGGCCGCAAGGTTTAGTGGCTAGATGAACCAATCAAATGTTTTTGTCGATCCGTCTGGAAAGACAAATTATAAAATGGTGGGGCTGAGTCAACAAGGAGAGACCCACATTTATTTCCTTTTCCAGCTGTTTTCGATGTGCTGGTATGTTCTAACAACTGGAAAAGAAAGTGTGTGGGGGGGGGGGAGAGACAAGATTACAGACAGCCTGTCCTAACATGCGACAGCACACAATTTTAAGTGTGGGTGGTTAAATTTTAAGTTCAGCGTATATACCAAACTATATACTTTTTTTTTTAAGCACCTATATCAAGGTTTGATGATGTGCATAGTTATTTAAATTCATCAATTAATCCATTAAAAAGAAGTCAATTTAATATGTTTGGGATGCTTTAAACCTCGCAGTGGGTTGGACCCTGGGAAAACCTTCCAACTACGATTCTATGCAGGCTACCAGCGCACGCATGCGCATCGGAAGCCGGCAAGCGCAACAAATGCGGGGCCAAAGGGGCGTGGCCAAAAGGCAGAGGCGGGGCCTGTTCTCTTATTCTCTCTCTGGCCGTTGTGCTGACGCTTCTCTTGGCCTTTCGCTTCGTTCTCCTCCTCCTCCTCCTTCCCCCTCACCTGCCAAGGGGCCACGGGCCGCGCCCTCCCCCGGCTCTCCGGCCGCGCGAGCCGGAGCCCGGCTAAGGAGCGCGCTGGCTGGTTCCCTGCCTGCGCGGCCTAATGCGGTTGCTTAGCAACGCGGAAGCGGAACTACAGCTCCCGTCGCCCTCTGGCGCATGCGCTTCGGCGTCGTGTTTTTTTTTTTTAAATACACCGAGTTCTGATTGGTCGCCTCTCCCACGCTCGTTGCGCCGCATGCGCGCGGCCGACTCGGGCTCCTCACGTGGTTTCCGACCTCCAGGACCTTGTAAGTAGCGTCTCTACGGTTGTCGCTTGGAGGGGAATTGTGGTCGTGTGAGCGCGCCGAGTTGCCTTGCGCGGGTTTGGGGAATGGCAGCTAAGGGCTCAGGCAGCAGGTACAGCTCGCCACGCGGGGGAGAAGCCGGCTGCTTCAATCAGCCCCTTTTCTCGGAACCATGTGGACTAGCGCCTTACTTTATTTTGAGGGGAAGGAGCGTAGCTCAGTGGTTGAGCATCTGCTTTGCATCTGGAAGGTCCCAAGGTCGGGAGTGTACGCTATGTGAGACCTTGCAGAGCCGCTGCGGATAGATAACTACTAAATTCAGGGTCGCCGCCTGTCCTGTATAATACAGGATTGTCCCGTATTTCAGTGTAAAATGCTCTCTCTCTCTGTGTCTCTCTCTTACTCTGCCAAGTTAGGTATCCTCTCCAAATGCATGTGTTCGAAAGGGTGTGAGAAAGGTCATGTATTTAAGCTGTGGGTAGCCAAGCACAGACAGATTGACAACTTCGTGGGGTGTGTGACAAATTTCAGAGGCGCCAATAGATTGTAATAGATTGCTTTGAATTCACTTCAGCACCAGCTGGAAAAAAAATAATACCCCCCCCCCAACTGCTCTGCCCCATGCTGTCCTATATTTTGCCAGAACAAAGGTGGCAGTCGTAAATGGACTGGTGGGCTGACTGTATAAAAAGAGCTGTCTACATTTCTGGGTTAGGAATAATTGAGGAATTGACCACAAGGATTCTGTGTTCTCATTCCCTGGGCCTAACTTCTATTCCACATCCCCCTCTCTCGTTTATTTTAGAATTGCAGAAATTTAGGTAGCCTGGTTCCTCATTTCATAACTGTAAGCTGATGGTGCTTTTTTGTTTGTTTTAATATGAGTGTTGGGATCTGATTTGTTACCTCTGTTTCCCCCTCCGTACAGGAACCAGACACCATGGTTCAGCTGGGTAAGTGGGATTACCGTATTTTTCACCCTATAGGGCGCACTAGCCCATAGGACGCACTTATTTTTTGGGGGGGGGAATAAAGGGGGAAATTATTTTCCCCCCCCGAGCTTGCCGGGCTGGGGGCGGGGGAAACCCCAGCTTCCCCCGGACCCCAGCCCCCAGAACGGGTCCGGGAGCGACGGCGAGGTTGCATTCAATGGTACCATTGTTTAAGGGACGTGGGTAGCGCTGCGGTCTAAACCGCTGAGCCTCTTGGGCTTGCCTATGAGAAGGTTGGCGGTTCGAATCCCCGTGACAGGGTGAGCTCCCGTTGCTCGGCCCCAGCTCCTGCCAACCTAGCAGTTCGAAAGCACGTCAAAAAGTGCAAGTAGATAAATAGGTACCGCTCCGGTAGGAAGGTAAACGGCGTTTCGGAGTGCTGCTCTGCTTTGTGGTCCGTTGCGCCACATGACCCGGAAAAACTGTCTGCGACAAACGCCGGCTCCCTCAGCCTGTAAAGCGAGATGAGCACTGTAACCCCAGAGTCGTCTGCGACTGGACTTGGCTGTCAGGGGTCCTTTACCTTTACCTTTTTTTTTTACCCATTGTTTAAAGACTGAAACGACTTAAAAATTAACTGTAACTAAACAGATATTTGGTACTTCTAGGCGGGGTGGGGTGTGAAAACAAAAACCAGCATTTATGAGTGATGTATATTGCAGATGAAGAAAAGCACTATGGAGTTGGTGGTCATCACTGCCTCCATTGGGAGCGAGTTCTACAGCTTAACTGTGCTCTGTGTAAAGAAGTATTTCCTTCAGCTTGTTTAACCACTGGAGGGAAATCTTCAATAAATGCAGGGTTTCTGTTGACATTGCCTTTGCACGGTCTCCCTTCCAGGGCACTGCCTCCTGAAAAAGTACTACAACGCGCATACCGTCATCCGCTTTGCTATGGGTGGCTGCGCCAACAGGCCTTACTTTCGGATCGTGGCTGCACAGAACAAGCGAGCCCGGGACGGGAAGCACCTGGAGCAGATTGGGTGCTACGACCCGCTTCCCAACGACCACAATGAGAGGATCGTTGGTGTGAACTTTGAGCGGCTGAAATACTGGATTGCCAATGGCGCCCATCTCACCAAGCCCGTCGAGAAACTTCTGGGTAATGCCATCTGGTTTCCTTCTTTTGGGGGGGGGGGGGAATGTTGCTCCTATTTTGTTGTCGCTTTCTGTGTTCCCTTACTTAGATTGACATTTTGCTTGTTGAACAAAGCATTTATACAAAAATTAAATGTGGTTTATATTTTGAATGGTTTCCCCACCATGCCAAACTCCTGCATTATTATAACCTATCCTTGTGGTGGGGTTTTGCTGAATAAAATTCTGATTATTGTACAGTTATCCATTGAACTTAGGCAGTTCCTGATAATGATGATTCGTAAAATCATACAAGGGTATAAGGGGCCCCAGGGCGCCTCCAATTCAACTACCTTCAATGCAGGAATTTTTTTTCTTAATCCTCCCGTTTATTTTTAAGCTGAAAATTTGTCCGGGGGAACAAGTGGAACGGAAAGCACAGCGTGCTTCCTGATGTCACGGGCAACCAGGCAATCAGTTCTTTCACAGCTTTGCGCTTAAGCCTAGGGTTGGGGAAGGTGTATCTTTTTGGACTCCCAACTCCCATTATCCCTAACCATTGGCCATTGGGTCAGATGAGAGTTGTAGTCTTAACAGCAGCATGCACCCCTGACATATGACTGCAAAATAGTCGGTATATTTTCTGAAGGCGATGAACTCCAGATTTTGTGTGTCCTGACTCTCCCCACCGTGCTATGCTTTAGACAGTTGACCTTGAGACCTAATGCAGGGAAGGAGAGCTTCAGAACCAGGGATCAAATGTGGCCCTCCAGCCCTCTGCATCTGGCCCTCAGAATTCTGCCTAAGCCACATCCCCTCACTGCCCCTGCTTCACACTCTCAGGTGTCTGGCTTGAACTCTGATAATGTCTCTTTGCTTAGCTTTCTGGATGGAGGATGGGGAAAGCAGCCTATTGTGCAAAGGTAATAACTGCACAAATTGCTCCAGCCGCTTTTGCCTCTGGCCTCACGCACCATTCATACATGCCCCCTGGGAAGTTGACCGGAAGCGAATGTGACCCATCAGGCTGAGAGAGGTTCCCCCACCCTTGCCGTGAAGAGCATAGACAGCAACAACAAAGTGCCTTTTCTTTCCCCCACCCAGGGCTTTCTGGATTCCTCCCCCTGCATCCGATGACCATCACAAACGCCGAAAGAGTGAGGAAAGCACAAGCCCAGCAGGCTGAGAGGGCTGCTCAGGAAGAAACAAGCCCAACTCGGAATGAATAAAGAGCAAAGTGGGGGGCTCTCGCTACCAGCTCAGAAGGCAGTGCCAGGATGAAGGACCGGCTGTTGTGCAGGAGAAGCCAGCAGACACAGGCTCTGTCTCTCTTTGCAACATGATAGAGCCGCAGCCGCCTTCAGGTTTGGTGACGTGTGGCCCGCCAGATGCTCTTGGACCCTCCTCAACCCCTGCCAGAATGACCAGTGGGCAGGGATGGTGGGAGCTGGAGCCCACTTCCACCTGGAGGGCTGCAGCTTCCCCACCCCATGGCCTAGCTCACAGCCTGACTCGACATAAGCGTTGTAACACCTGCTAAGAGAGGTACTTCCAGGAACGTGGGATGGGAGCCTTTGCAGGACTGCAACTCCCATTATACCTGTCCACTGCCTTTGCTGCCAGTTGGGCATTAATCATCATCCAACCATCCGCAGGTTTCCTGCTCCCATCTTTAAAAATTCAGTTCTTTCTCCATCTCTTGGCCAGATTTAACGCTTCTGTGGTGTCTGCAGAGTCACTGCCTTGTGAGATACTTTATTGGGGAAAAGGCTTTCCTCCTGGACCACTTTGGCAGAGGAATGTTAATGGACTGATGGGAGGGAAGGGAAGTTTTCCATCTACGCACCTGCCTGCTGATCTACCTCCTCCCACTAAAAAGGTGCAAAATTCAGCTTTCTGGTAAATTAAAAAAATAATAAAGTTCCTAGGTCTTGGTATGTTGTATATATGAAAGTCCGAGGAGGCCTAAGAAGAGGTGTGTCTGGCAAAACAACAAAATCATTTGCGGGGGTTAGTGGATAAGATTTGAGGGCCCTGGCCACCTCTTGGCCATGGCAAGCAGACTAAACAGTCCTAAAGAATCATAGAATTATAGACTTGGAAGGGACTCTGAGGATCATCTAGTCCTGCAATGTAGGAATAAGCTGATGTCCCATATGGGGCTCAAACCTGCAACCTTGGCACTATCAGCACCATGGTCTAAGTAGTCTTGCTTTGTGGGTTTCCTCCTCAGTGGTAAGAGCACATGCTCTTTTTCTTTTTGCATTTGGCAGATCCCAAAGGCAGATCAGTCTGCAAAACGGCTTTTATTAATTATTTTGTGAAATTTATACATAGCTTGAATGACTTTTTTTAAGACCTCAAAGCGGTTTGCAAAATGATAGAACAAAATCAATAAAAATTTACAGCTTCGCTTTAAAACATACAAAGGTTAAAATAGTAAAACAGTTTAAAGTTACTTCAACTTTCTAAGCATCTGGGTAGGCTGGTCTCAACAAGAATGTTTTTATCAGACATTGAATAACATGAAGGCTCAATCTCAAAAGGCAGGGAGTCCCAAAGTGTAGGTGCTGCCATAATGTGCAACCGAATTCTTACAAAAGCAGAGTCAGACCATTGGGCCCATTCTCTCTACACAAGTATTTCTCAAACTTGGGTCTCCAGCTGTTGTTGGGCTCCAACTCCCATCATCCCTAGCTAGCGGGACCAGTGGGCAGGGATGATGGGAGTTGTAGTCCAACTACATCTGGGGACCCAAGGTTGAGAAACAC